GCGGGTTCTCAATCTTCTAGGGCAGTGAATACACGACTGCTCCCGATCAGGTCAGTTTTAATTGTTTATTTTTTTGGATTTATCTACATGCTATAATCTTAATTATTTGATAAATTTCCAACAGAACAGCCACACTTTCTCATCGAAACAGCGATCATTAGAAGAACCCTACCTAGAAACTCTAATCAGCAACAGAATTTGTAAAGCCTGACGCAATCACGTCTTGCAACCGCAAAATTAACGTAGCGTACGAAAGCTCCTCATTTTTCACCTACGTACGACCACTTTTTATTTTAGGATTCGGTCTTTTTTAATTACGACTCAGTTTTCACCTCAATAATTATAAACGTTCGACTCATCGACCAACTACTTGTAATAGGGTTCATTCTTCTTATTATGGCGCAAACGGCTCTAGGGTATGACAATGTAGAAGATGAATATTTATCAAAAAGGCACTTTAGGTAAACCGACTTTTCACATTTAGAAGTAAACTACAGGAGAATGCTCAAGTTACTTGACCATTATAAACCCTGCGCCTCAACTCTATTGCAGCACAAAAGAAAATGCACCGAAATACCATAAGATTCATTGTTACAACAAACCAGAACACAAAGTACTGATCAGCTCCGAGCGTAAGAGGACAATCGACCATGCTACACTGGAAAAAGTGATCAACCTGTTAGCTTTGGGGGTGAAGCCCAAACCTTGCAGGCGAGCTCGAGGTCCTGCGGTTCGCGACCTCTTGAGCAGGCGAGTTTGGGGTCGCTGCAGGCGAAGTTCTCGAACAGGCGGACTCCTCCAGGCGGGTCGAGCTCCAGGCGAAATTGGGCGCAACAGCAGGCGAGCTCGAGGAAATCCACAGGCGAGTTCGAGGCTGGCGGATTTTACACAGGCGAGATCGCGCGTGGCTGGCGACAGCCTATCACCAGCCCTAAAGTCCCCCCTATAAAAGGAACCGAAACCCTAGCCCTCCTTGTTCTGCAGATTTTCCCTTTCTCTCTCTCTTCGATTCCAGGCGGCGGGGGCGACTATTCCCAGTTCCTCCTCGTGTTCGTCTTCAAGCGGCGGCGAAATTTTTCTCTTGGGTTCTCTTTGATCTCCAGCACCTCTCACGTGATTGAAAGGGGGGTTAAAGAAGAGGGAAATAGAAGAGGGGTGATTTAAGAGGGGTACTTAAAGAAGTGGGGGAATCTTACTGTAGCTACAGTATTAGCCTTGAAATTTATTGAGGAATCTCAGTTTGAGATTCGCTCTGAATTGTAATTTCTTGTTAAGATTAATAAGAAATTTATTGTGTGGCTCCCGAGGACGTAGGCAGTTGCCGAACCTCGTTAAATCTTGGTGTACTTTCTCTATTCTGCGTTTCTGTTGCATTAGGGATTTCGACGTTAAATTCCCAACACAACCAAGGTAATAGAAGCTTAAAAACAGGAGCTCCAGAATGTAAATTCTTACTAACTTCCAAATGCATAGATTTTAAGGTTCTGTATGCAAACCGCTAATCTGAACGCCGAAAGCAATTTCCTAATCAACTCGTCAGCCATATGCTTAGGTCGAGCATTTCGTCAAACATGTTACAGGCATTTTTAAAAAAAAATTGGAAAATAGAAAAATATCAACTAAGTCGAAAATAGGGTTTCTTGATTCCCTTTTGAAAGCCTCCAATCTCAATGCGGATCGACCACCCCATCTACTCCGAATAACCTTTGCAACTGCGGATACCTATTCACTTTCATGTCTTTTATCATGTTTCTTTTGTATTAGATCATGCAATATTCGCATGTCCTTTCGCTTCTCTCAATCCTCAGGAGTAACATCTAAACATAAATCTAACATTGGTATCTTCTATAAAACCAAATGTAGGAATACTAAATTCAGTTGTCAAAATTTTCTAAACTTACATCTTCCATCATCATTAACTACATGTAGTAAATTTCAGTTATTTAACAACAAATCCTCCATAAAAACAACTCTTCCAACTTCTTCTCTTCTCCATCCAATAAAAAAAACACACCCTCTGTTTCTTATACTTCATGGAGATCAGGCTTCACCTCTAATCCCTCTCCCATCAAAGATGGCACGAAGGCTGCCTTCTTCTGAAGGCACCCTTTTCTTGCATTCAACCCTCTCCTTCTCTCTCATCGCCGCCTGCATCGCCGCCTCCATAGCCATCTTCGCCTCCTTATGCGCGACCTGCAACCGAAAACCCTCAACAACCTCACCCAAATCGCCCTCCCCTGATCATAACAATGAAGAGGAACCAACTCAAGTCGATGGAGAACGAGAACCAGAATCAGAGCAGGAGGAATGGGACCCACCGATGTCGGAAGAGAGGATAACGGAGCTTGAAGCGGCAATCCATGGGCCTATATATCCGACAGAGCCTGCAGGGTCCACGTCGAAGAGAAGGATTTCGGTGAGTTTGAGTATCGGAATTAAGGATGGGTTGTCGAAGATCAAGACGAAGAAGGATAATGGGAAATTTGGAGGACGAGAAGAGTCCTTGTGGAAGAAGACTATAATTCTGGGAGAGAAGTGTAGGATGAAGAGCGAGGAGGAAGGCGGGGAGGCGACAAGTCGGAGGTCGCAGGAGGAGGAGGAGGTTGTGTGAGCCATGTGGAGGGCATTGTTACAGCGGAAGGATGGGGATGGACCCATGTATTCCTACATGCGAAGCATTTTTGAGATCACAATGCACGTGTAATTTGTATTGGAATTTGTGGGTGTGTATATAGGAGACCTTCCCCGCCAATTATATACATCACTTCAAACTGGCTTCCCCCAACCCCACTACAAAAAAAATAATAATAATAATCACAAGGTAATAACATAGTTAAGCTATACAAATTTACTTCAACATGATAAGAAATTTAGTAGCAAACATATTTTAGTAGGCAAGCCTCATGCTCTCCAGCTAAGCGTTAATGCTGATCCAAAAACATGTGAACAAGCCTCTAAATTAGACTATTGCACGAGTTGTAGTACGTACAACTCTCAAGAAACATGCAAGGTACCACAGGAATCAAGAACGCAAATATACTAAGCTTTCTTCATTTTTAAACAAGCACATACCTAATTCCGTAACGATATCGCTAACAAAAGCTGCCTTTTTGCATGAATTACTCACATAGATAAGCGCAGATAATGCTTTAGAAAACAAAGAACCATAAATAAATAAATAAAACATAAATAAGAATCAAATTGTGGCAGTCCTAAATGGGCAACACCGATATATCTATCAGTATTGCCAGTTTCGTGTAATATTTCTTTTTACAAAGAGAGGAAAGCAATAATTCCTTGTAACTATTACTTAACCTTATCTAAATTAAGAGACTCAATGCCTTTGAGAGTGGACTCGTAGTTCATGGTTGACGGAAGCCTTACAGATGAACTTCTCTGAGCACTCGAAAACTTATGGAAAGTTCCAGGGCTTGCTTCTGAGGTTCGAGGGCGAGAGAGTTCAGTCTCGCTGCCTATCATCACGTCTCTGCTGCTAGCAGCAGCAGGTCGCCTTGAGGTACCGCCTGATCTTCCCAAAAAAGTTGAACTGGATACCTACAAGTGATTATTGTATTCTGTCAGGAATTGCAAACAAATGAACAGTAGTATTTTGTGTTTGATTTTTGGGTAAACTTGCATATAACTCTCTTCATCTATACGTTTAGTAGCACTTATGACCCCTCAATCAATTGATAAGGGCGAGTATATACAATTTCTTCTTCTCCAAATACCAACCCAGGGACGTAAGTGTTAATAAACAACTTGGGAGTAACAAGTGCTAATAAAATGAGGGGATGGGGTTTAACTGCAATTTACCCTGGATTTCCTAATACTGTTTTTTATGGGGAAAATGTGAACTTGTACTACTAAAAACCCCTAATTGTAAGATGATCATAATTTTTATGAACATAAATTTTCTCTGAGTCCAGCCATCTAGTGGCTATCAACGACTATTCTGTAGCCTATTTTGAAATGGCTCACTTAATGTTTCAGAAAGTACTCAAGAATAACATGTAGAATCTATAAAAACTAGGGTAAATCTCACAATTCCCCATTGAACATTGCAATGCTTTGCATGAATCACCCCTAAACTTAATAAATTAGAGAATACCCCAAAACTTGTTTTCACTAAAACACATTGCGGTTAGTTTCATTTATCACACGCTCTTATGTAATTAATATATCTGTAACATTACCCTCTTTTCAGATTATCGTCAGCATTATCATCAGCAGATAGTAATAAGGGTCGTTTAGACCTTTCACCCTTCACATTAAGGCCGTTTATGATGATTTCCAACAGTTCAGGAGGGTTTTGTATGATTTAGATGTTTTCTTAATTTCTAATGTTTAAGGCTTTTGTGCAATACACCACAAATTTAAGGAGGTTTTTTGTGAAATTTAACATGAATACTCAATCATGAAAATTATTTGCTCAAATGACTCCAAAACAACAAAACAATACATTAATAAGTTCCTTATTATATTGGCTAAAATACCAATTTAGCCTATAAAGTGACACACCCTAACCAATAAGACCTAAAAAGTGACGCTGGCAACAATAACACCTATAAATTGACACGGTTAACCACTTTAACCTACTTCGGACGCCGGAATTTTGGTTTGACCGCGGAAAGTATAATATTTTGCATTTATACTCCTCGTATCTCTCACACTTACATATTTACCCTCTAATTTTTTAAATATTTACAAAAAATCCTTTTTCC